TGATGATAAAATTTCTTTTGGTTATAGCATATTTATCAGTGTTGCCTTTGGATTAGCAACATATATATTCACTGATCTTCGGGGGGAAAGGTCTTTCTATAATTCCATGAAGTGATAGCTTAATTCAAAATTTGCATTTGTAGGCCAGGTGCGGTGGCTCAGGTCCGTAATCCCAGCACTTTGGGTGTCTGAGGCAGGCAGATCATCTGAGGTCAGGAGTTTGAGACCAGCTTGGCCGACATAGTGAAACCCCCTGTCTACTAAAAATACGAAATTAGCCAGGTGTGGTGGTGCATGCCTATAATCCCAGCTATTCTGGAGGCCAAGGCAGGAGAATCACTTGAACCCGGGAGGTGGAGGTTGCAGTGAGCCAAGATCGAGCCATCGCACTCCAGCCTGGGCGACAAGAGCAAAACTCTGTTTCAAAAAAAGAATAATAATAAAATAAAAAATCGCATTTGAAAAATTTGGAGTTACTTGAGGAGGAAAAAACAATATTCCTGGAGAGTTTAGTTATGGATATTTAATAAATGTTTTACATTTTGTTTACAGTATGGTAAGTGATTAGAGATCCTAGATGCTGGTTATTTAATATTGATATATTTCATTTTAAAATTTTTACTTTAACTGAAAATTGGCTTAAACTTTTTACTTTGGCTGAAACTCTATGCAAAAAAAGTCGGAGTAACATGGATATTTTAAAATTGATGGTCATGTATTATATGGGTTAATTTTGTATTTTCTCTAATCAAAAGTCAAGTTTTTTTTTTTTTAGGTGATTCTATGTGGACACATCCTAATTTGATATCTCATGAGGACTGTTGTGGAAAAGACCACAAATTAAACAGTATAAATTGCACATGCTCAATGTATAACTTGTTAGCATTTTGTTTTACCAATACTTGTGTGTCATCTACAAGTGAAAAAAGGAAACTCATACACTTTTGTGTAATTTATAAGCAAAAATATCCCATTTGAAAGAGAAGGAAAAGAGAATAACTGATTTTATGACTTTCTCAGATTTTGACTAAACCAGAACATTCTCTCCATTAAAGAAAGTAATCCAAGACCTTTTCCAACAATTCCTTCTAGGATGACAGGAACTTGCTTGGTGTGGTCACCTAGGGCCCCTGTTAACATTAACCCTTTCAAGGAGGGGAACCAGTGGTCATCTCCTCTGGGAGGCTGCTTAAAGTTTGGATTGAGTAAATACACAGTTAACCATGTTATTCAAAACTTACTATACTCCAGCCTGAGTGACAAGAACGAGAACCTGTCTCAAAGAAAAAACAAAAAATTCAATATGTATGCATAAGATATATCCTTACAATTCTTGCTCTGAGATACGCAGAAACTGACCACTGGTTAAGGCAATGAAAAATAAAATATACAGGCATTTTTCTAGGCAGAATATGAATGGTGAAAAACACTTTTAGCAGTTACTACACATAGGACTCTCTCAATGCTTCAGGGTGGGTTTCCCAACTCAAAATAGGAAGAATAAACATTTCTGAATAGATGGCAGGACTTGATAAAGATTAACACTTTGGGAGCTCTGGAAAGCCTTGAGTAGTATAAATTAACAATGTGAATGGTGGTTTTAAGATTTTTTCAAAAAACAAATATTTTATAACCATGGCTTTTTATTAGGAATTATAACTTCAACTCATAATTCTTTTGCTGACTTTTAGTATTTATCATTTCAGAACCACTCATGAATTCTTGTTTGGTGCTCTTGCTGAACTGGTTGATAATGCAAGGTATGTAGTCTTCAGGCATACAATCTGTGCTTGAAGTGGAAACACTTTAGGTAGCTGTGACCTTTGCTTTCTGAAGACTTGAGAGGAAGACATTTCTGTAGCATGTAGACATTCTGTAACTCCTAAGAGGCCTCTTACTGAAAAAAAATATTTTTAATAGCACATTACTTGATAACTTCCACTTTCTTACTTAAATTCACTAATTGTTCTTTGTATTCTAGCCTAAAAATAGTGAATTATCACCTCCAAAACCACTTCCCTTGTGTATTAGAGCAAGATAATTGTAGTAAAATGCAGGGAATTAAGATGGACACTTAGGAATCATATTAATGGGACAGGCAGGCTCTGATTTAATTTGTGCTACCAGGATAGTACACCATCTAATGTCTTTAAAACTATGCTAAAGTTCTGTGTCTTCTCAAATTGTATGTTTGTCAGATAACTAAATGATCACAGTGTCTTTCATCGTTAGCAGCTGTGCTTGGAAGGAATCATTGGTCAGCACTGTCTTATACTGAGTTCTTAGTGATAGCAACATATAAATGTTACTGTGTAAGACTGAATAGAAGTTTGGGTTAATTCTGATATAAATCCAAGTCCATATCAAGATTCTGTTTATAATTAGGAAAATATTGTCTCAGTCTTACTCCTGAATGCAAATGTAAAATTCAGACATATCATTTACTGACCAGGTTTTGATGACTAATGAAGGAAGAAGAGGATGAAAATTGACAACAGAAGTACTTTCAAACAGATCTCCAGTTAATGTGCTTGCTGATAATTTCCTGTTTACCTCTGTCTATACAATAAACTTATTCTAACTACTTTTGTTATTGTTATTAGCTGGACTGCTCATGGAAGTGTGCTAGTTGTTTAACCAGAAAACTCCCATTTTGTTTCAATCCTGGTTGACTCGTCATTTTTCCATTCAATTAAAAAATATAGGTTAATGGAACTATGTTTGAATTTGCCACTTGTTAATTTAGTGAGACAATGATGTGCGGTGGCAGGCTGCTTTTTTGTGTATCATATGGTAAAATAGAGATTCTTAGAAGTACGTGTTCCTACTTGTGTATACATTTGGCCAGTATCTCTCATATTTGAAAATGTTTTAGATATTCGAGAATAGGTATATGTAGAGCTGCGCGGATTTTTTGCACATAAAACCAATGAAACGATTTCATTTTCTTTGCCTGCATTAGTAGAATTGGACTAAATTACTTCTGAGCCTTTATGGAAGTCTTCATTGATAACTGAATCTGTATGACTTCAGCCAATGGTTGGAGTCTAATGGGGCAGGGGTATCCCAGCTTCCTTTTAAGGTTAGAGAGGTTAAGATTATGGGCTCAGGAATCGGTCTGCTGACTGCGGTGGTATACCACGAGATGATTTTTCACAGGTTTTGTGGGAGATTATTGTTTTCCTTTTTTCTTAAAATCTTGATGAGAAGAAAAAATGGACAAGTTATTGGAACATCTTTTTATGATTGCAATCAAATGAGTGAGAAAAACATGTATTTGAATCATTTTTTAGGGTATAAAGGGAAATATTCTTGATTATCCTATAGATGTTTTTACCACAAAATCAGGATTAAAAAAAAATATCCAGGCCCCATGTCATGTGATTATAGTAATTTGGGGCTTTGGAAATGTTTTACAAGTATATAAAGAAAATTGTGTTGTCAAGTATAAAAGTAAAAAAATTCTAAATGTATATAGAATTTCTGTATGGCTTCCTGAAAACAGACTCGAAATACTCTGCATTCTACTCAAATCACTATGCATTTTGATGGTTGATATTTCATATTAATTCACGTGATTCTTTTAACTTTGCAGAGATGCTGATGCCACCAGAATAGATATTTATGCAGGTAAGTCAGGCTTTAGTCCTTCTAATGTCTAGTTCATCTTAATGCATTTATTACTGTGCCTAAGAAGAATCAAGTTGGAAATAACTGGATTCTGGAGCCTGGGAAGATGGCATGATTATTCCAGGTCATAGGTAGAAAAGGGGCAGCCGTAGTCAGGTATGGTCAGCTCTGGTCAGGCATAGAAACCAAGAATACTAGTTTCGAGAAACTAACACAAGGTATCCAAATCTGTGCAAATAGCTACCGGTAGAGTTATGAAAGTGATGGAGTGGAACAGTGGAGAGTGAAATGACTAAGTTATTTTACTGGTGGGAGTTAATAGGTGAATGAGGTTTGTGGTACCGGCAGCCAATGAGAGATCTTGTTGGAGGCCACTTTGTTTTGAACTCTTGGTGAGCACTCGTCTCAACTTGGAGAATTGCTGGTATCAGTTGCAGCAAATACCAGTAACTGGATTGGCTCTGAGGTTTGCTGAGTTGTTCTCAGAGGTGTCAGGAAGGAAGGCTGCTTGGCTTGGAATTTACACCTGTCAGCATCCTATTTCATTTTGCTTATTTGGCTCTGCTGTTTTGTAGTAAGATCTTCTCCTTTTCCTAGAGTAAGTGCAACAGTCATTGGCCTTTTAATTAATTAATTAACTAATTAATTTTAATAGTTTGCTTTCTGCCTGGTATTTGTACTGGCACCTTTTTTAGTCATTTGAATACTAAAAATCTGAAAGCAGAATGGAGGAAGACAGCTTTTTTTTTTTTTTTTTTGAGAGGGGGTCTTACCCAGTTGCCCAGGCTAGAGTGTGGTGGCACATCTTGGCTCACTGCAACTTCCTTCTCCCAGGTTCAAGCGATTCTCTGGTGTCAGCCTCCCAAGTAGCTGGGATTACAGGCACCCACCGCCACGCCCAGCTAATTTTTTATATTTTTAGTAGAGACAGGGTTTCACCATGTTGGCCAGGCTGGTCTCAAACTCCTGACCTCAGGTGATCTGCCCGCCTCGGCCTCCCAAAGTGCTGGGATTACAGGCGTGAGCCACCCACACCTGGCTGGAAGACAGCTTTTAAATACAGTTTGACTTGTGTGATGTGTTTTTTTTCTGACAGACTTTTTTGAAATCCTCTGAAATGTGTGAGGTGATATTTTGAGTAGCATGGACTAGGTTCTGAAAAGTGTGTATGTTTATATGGGAATGAAATAACCCCTCTCATGGACCCTTTTGATGAATGGGAACAAGCACACAACTAAGTAGTAATTCTCAGAACCACTAATGTCATATAATTATGAAGAATCTGCTCCAGATTTGATAAATTTCTCATGTCTGCTATACTTTGGAGCAAAGAAAATCCTCAGAGCAGCTAAAAGTCAGCCATACTGCTTCAATTCTGAAAGCCTTTTGTTCAAAAGCCTCCGCCAAAGTGGTGAAAATAAGGCTTCTTTTCTTTCTAGAAGAAAGTAACAGGAAATAGGGGCACATAGGTAAAGAATGTTAGAAGATGATTACTAAATGCTCAGGCCAGGGCTGGGCGTGGTGGCTCAACGCCTGTAATCCCAGCAGTTTGGGAAGCGGAGGTGGGCAGAACACCTGAGGTCGGGAGTTTGAGACCAGCCTGACCAACATGGGGAAAACCCCATCTCTACCAAAAATACAGAATTAGCCAGGCATAATGGTGCATGCCTGTAATTCCAGCTACTTGGGAGGCTGAGGCAGGAGAATCACTTAAACCCAGGAGGCGGAGGTTGCCATGATTGCACCATTGCACTCCAGCCTGGGCAACAAGAGCGAAGCTCCATCTCAAAAAATAAATAAATAAATAAATAAATAAATAAATAAAATTTAAAAAGTGCTCAGGCCAGATGGAGGTGCCTTTCCAAGCTAAAGCTTGTATCTTACATCTGAGTGTGCTTTCTCAGGAGTGGCAACAGCTACCGCTGGAAAAATAGGGCTCATTTAATCAATGCACAGATGATAAAGCGGAGAATGGGCCTCTTCTTCAAGTGATGCTGAAGGTACAAATCATAACAGTCAAGTCTTCTTGGAAGACGTTTTTTAAAAAAAGATCATCTCTGCTCTCTCCTACTACACTTGGTGGGTGAATTTCAGTAAAGAAATTTAGTTCCTGACACTCAGAATGAAGTTGGATCTCAATTTAAATGAAAAGGACCCAGTGTCTATTGTGTGCTCAGTGCAACTCCTGTTATGCTTTGGGAAAAGTCCAGAGAGGATGAGATGGGGGTCTTTGCTTTAAGAACTTAGTCTTTAATTGGAGAGACAAGTAGTGCACTACAGATAATTGGAGAACAATAACTAGATCTTGAGGGAACAGTCAAGACAGTTAAGGATTAAATGGTGTGATAGAAGCACTAAGCACCATAGTATTTTGGAAAAAGACTTGATTTACTTCAAGTACCAGGAGACTGGGATTCTTGGCTGAGGGATCTTTAACCCTACACTTTTCTACGACAGGGCCTTATTAACACATTCAACAGGAGAAATAAATCAGTGGAATCTTTTTTTTTTTTTTTTACCCAGGCTGGAATGCAGTGTGCTATCTAGGCTCACTGCAACCTCTGCCTCTCGGGCTCAAGTGATCCTCCTACTTCAGCCTCCCGAGCAGCTGGAACTACAGGCGCACACCACCATGCCTGGTTAATTTTTATATACATATTTTTTCACCATGTTGCCCCGGCTGGTCTCAAACTCCTGAGCTCAAGTAATCCGACTGCCTCGGCCCCCCGCAAAGTGCTGGACTTACAGGCTGAGCCAATGCGCGTGGCCAGTAATAATCTTAATACTATAAAGTTCTTGTTGTTAGTTCACGGGGGAAAGTATTTTCTTATCTCCACTTCTGAAACTAAATTGATAACTGGACTTGGAAATCTTCCCAAACATCAGATGTAGTTTGAAGTTACCACAAAGTCACATTTTAAGGACTGTTTTTAAACCTAAAAAGGGCAAAAAAGGAGCCAGCCTCTCAAAGTGTAGAGGTGTTCATTTACCCAAAGCTTATTATTAGTTGGATTATTATTATTATAGACCATAATATGCCTGTCATAAGCAGACTGTTTTTGTTGACTTTCTTCACCTTCTGGGGTAGGTAGTGCCACCTCCTTGGAAGAAAGATCCTTTTTGTGATGCCAGGGCAATGATTAACACATGAAAAATTGGAGCAAATGAAACTGCAATTAATACTGCTCAAACAGATTGCACAGTATGACGAAAAACTTGGATGTCATTTTATTACAGCCTCTCCTAGGGACACCATTATTTTATCACCTTTGACTTTTGGATGTATAGCTCCATTTGACATCTCTTGTCTTTTCCTGCTTTCTTTCTTTATTCTTCCCAGGGGGAGTTAGATGAGGAATGTCTGGCTTGGAGAAGCCAGACTTGGCCATGTTGGGAGATGTACAGACTTTCAGATTGGCTCTGACAGTCTTACAGAGCTGTTCCCAGGATATGAAGCACAACTGCAAAGCAGGCAGTTCGGCTTTGCCTTCTCTGTCTTGCTTTCGAGATGTGTGATGGGAGGCAGGGAACATACAACCTCCAGCTGTGTAGACTCTTCTTCATCCAGAATTCCCCCTCCTTTATCTTTGGAGGCTTCAGATATCACTTAGTTGACTGATTAAATATCAGGTGATAGGAATCTCTCTATGGTGGAATATATGAGGAGATAGTTTTGAGCAAGGAAGCCTTCAAGTTCTTGCTTGCTCTAGTTTAGTGCTTCTCAAAGGGTGGTCCACCCATGGACGTTGTCAATATCGTCTTGGAACTTGTTAGAAATGCAAATGCCCCACCTGAGACCTACCTAGACTATCCAAGGGGAGCCCAGAATCTGTATTTTCACAAGCGCTTTGGATAATTCTTAGCCATACTACATTTTGCTCTAGCCAATACTTTTCTCAGCTTCCTTCAGCTTAAACCCTCCTCTCCTTTACTTCCTAGCTTATCTGCTGCAGGCAGTAGAATCCATTAGACTGTAAGCTCTGTGAAGACAGTGATCTCATCTGCATTATTCACTGCCCTTGTCCTCATCATAACCAGGCACAGAAGAGCTGATCACTTAAGTAGTCATTAAATAAACAAGTGATTGGCGTAAGCATTAGAACAAGGTGAAGAGACAACACTGTCTGTTTACAGTTGAAGAAGTCAATGCTGTCTTAGTCTTTCTTGTTCCTGAGGCAGTATTGCATGTGACCATGGACCTAGACACTACTAGCCATTTACAGGCTGTCAGTTATACTATGTAGCCAGGAGGATCCCCCCAGTGTCATCTCTTACCCTTTAAACTACACAAAAAAGCTTTGAAATGAAGTCCTTGAGCCAGAAAAGGATGCCAGCCCCACTGTTAAGTGATGATTGTGTGCTAAAGCAGCCTGAGAGTTCTGTCCTAACACAAGGGCCTAGAAAGTAACTTCTTAGGTAGCGTCCAAAGAATGCCAGTAGTCCTTGGAACTTTTCAGAGGTGCTTTGCTTGAATCAATTTCTAGATCCCAAAGCAGAGTCTTCATGCACATTTTATGACTGTAGTGTACAGCAAATGGCTCTTGGCTAGGTTTAGAATGCTGCTTTTACCATTCTCTGTATCTGACCCAGTTTGAGTCTCCATATGACACTTGGCGTCCTCCAGATGGAAATTTTGAAGCTTTTTGGACTTTTAGTGTACTTGTTCTTGATTGCCACATCTCATTTGGATTCTCCAAACTCTGATTAGAGGCACTGCCACCAGGATAAATTTTATCTAACCAATAGTACCTCCAGGAAGATCCTCACCCTTGTACTTTCAAGAAGCACTTGTGATTAATGTTCAGCTTCCTGAACACTGAGTGGTACTTGAAAATCTCTGTGGTTTATAGCCTTGCTGAAGCTACTCTGGAGGCTGAGGCAGGAGACTCGCTTGAACCTGGGAGGCAGAGGTTGCAGTGAGTTGAGATCATGCCATTGCACTCCAGCCTGGGTGACAGAGTAAGACTCCATCTCAAAAAAAAAAAAAAAAAGGCATTTTAGCATTTTAATTTACGTTAATAGTCTGTTTAACAGGGGGCAGTCCCTACTCACTTGAATTTTTAGCCTGAAGAAAGGACAAAGAGCATTTAAAACAGATTTCTCAGCTTAGATAGTTGTACAAAACTGGTGAACTGAAGCTTGGGGGAGATTAAAAAATTATCAGGGACCAGGCTCCAGAGCAGCCTTGGGCTTACCCCTGTAGTACCTTACACAGACCTCTTTCCTCTTAGAAATGCTACCTTTGTCCCTGTGCCAGTCAGTAGACTGAACAGCATCTATATGGGAAGTTGACTTGCTTGGCTTGTGTGGGTCTCCTGCCTATACCTCTGCGTCACATCCTTCTCTTCTTCATGTCTGCCAACTTCCTTGATTCCAAGGCTGGTTTCTCTTTTGCTCACCTAGTCCTCATCATTGGGACAAAAGGCACCTTGGAAACTAGTATAGCCTGTTTCTATATTTGGGAATGGCTTCTCCATTGACCATGACATGCTTGGACCCAGATCACTTCAGTTACCACTTGCTGCTGCAGAAGACAACTGCTCAGAGAAGAGGTTCTTTTCCCTGGAATGGCAACCATAGTTTATTGTGTTCCTTTTCTGTTGGCCAGGAAACCCCGCCACAGCTGCTGTGCATCTTACTGTCAAAGGACCATTCCCTCTTCCTATCAGGCAGGTCCAGCTAGGAACCAGGCACCTCCCACTGCACCATGTGCCTTCTCACTATTGGGTTGGGAGCCCTTTCAAGAACCATAGCTAGCAGGGGATATGACAGTAAATGCAGATAGCCCAGAATGCCAGTCAACCTGGGGATGGTCATGTATAGACACAGTATTTCATCTTTTAGATAGCAGCTTCCACTGCTGTGCCCATACCATGTCTGGTGTCATCACTTTGAAGGCTACCCCAGACTTAATTCACAAAGGAGGCATCCTGTTGAGTTTGAGCAGTATTGATAAGGTACGGGGTATAGTAGTTGGAGTACTTTAGTGCTTGGGGTCTATGGCATAGGGCAGAAGTGATAGTAATCCAGGTGGAGCCAGCAGAAGGATAGGATGATTGAGATATGTGTGAGGTATGTGCATATTCAGTGGTGGCAGGTGTGATTAGATGCTAGACCAGATATTCCTGCCTTCATAGATTCTCCCAAGCTTTGTCATGAACTAGAAAGCATTGGAGAACCTTGGATGGGAATTTGCAACCTTAAGGACCCTGAAGTTTAATTCACACTAGTGTAGAAGCTTAGGCTTGACCTGACCTTTTTGGACCAAGCTTCACATTGATCTGCCTTCTGATGATAGGCATGTTGCTACCCTCTCGTGGGTAATGGCCCAGTAATGGCAGCTGCTTCTTTTACAGAAAGACGAGAGGACCTTCGAGGAGGATTTATGCTTTGCTTTTTGGATGATGGAGCAGGAATGGATCCAAGTAAGTGATGAGATTATTGTTTTGTGTGTGGGGTGGAGGGGTGGCGATGTAACCATTTTTACAAAATACTTATGTGAACTTGTTTTTCTGTTGCCTGCAATGTTATGTCTAGAAGATCTACCTGGGGAGTAAGAAGTCTGTTGCAACATCTCAGGCTTAATTCTATTAATGTATTTGCCAGGTCTTGTCTTAACATGGAAGATAGGATCTGAAAGGCAATCTTAAGTCAATCAGATTACCTGTCTCTTGGCGTTGTATTTATCAGCTTGCACAACATTCTCGAGCTGGAACTACGGAGGCCTCCCCTAGCTGTCTTACCACATTCTGGGAATAGAACATAGGTCACAGTGATGGAGGTACCGACAGGCCAGGCAAAGCTGTGCCTCCATTTGCTTCATGGTAGTGAATTTCCTTGGAGAGAGGTTTTTAGTAGACACACACCCCGCTTGGATTTAACAAGGCTCAGACCTTTGACTTTGAGGACGCTGGGAAAGAAATGCAAACTTTTCACTTTCTCTTGTGTCTGCCCTTTCAGGTGATGCTGCCAGTGTGATCCAGTTTGGAAAGTCGGCCAAGCGAACACCTGAGTCCACTCAGATTGGGCAGTACGGGAATGGGTTAAAATCGTAGGTATATTAGAAGCTTGTCACAGGGCTCAAACAAAATCCAGCAGTGCTGTCCTGCTTCTCTTAGATAAAAACTTTCCTTCTCCTTGTCCGTCTTTTGACTGTAATTCTGGAACTGGAAGAAAGTCAGAAAGTGTGGTTTTTGGAGTAGCTTACCAACTGTTCCCAGCTGAGTTTGCTCCATAGATTGAAAAGTATGAACATCCAAAAACAGGGCAGGAGAAGCTGTACGTTTCTCTTGGCACTGTGCTCTAGAACTGCACCTCTCCTGTTGAAAATTCTTATTTTTACCATGTAGTCAAGGATGTGAGTGATTCTCTTGTGGTGTTGGGATGTATCTGAGATGATGAAGGGGTCGCCTTACTGTGCAGCTGTGTTCCCTGAGCACCTGCTACATGTCATGCTTTGTGCCAGGCCCTGGGGATCCAGGGTAAGGAAGAGAGATGTGAGCCCTCGGTCCCAGAGGATGCTAAATGTACTGCAAGGCCCGTATAGCAGGGTCCTACCTAATGTCCTCAAATCCCATGGGACTTTTTCTTAGCCTTGGTTCCCACTTGGTTAGTGTTTGGAATGTGTTGTTCTGGTTTTGAGTGAAGCCCCAAGAGAAAGGTTTCTATTTCTGAAATGCTCACTTCCAGCTGTACATACCTTTGGATGGAATAAGATTTAGTGGAATTGGAGTTTGTGCAAATGGAATTGTGAGTCACGTTTCCAGTCTTGCCGTGGAAACGTGTTGTGTTTGAGGGAGGGTGGTGGTTTGATCAGTCAGCAGCATCAGTTGGGCCTTATGTGCAGTGTGCTTTGGGTATATGGAGAAGAAAGAGAGTACATCCAAAGAAAGCAGGACCTGGTACCTGGACTTTGTGATTTTTCTTTCAGGGCAGGAACCAAATGGTAATAACAGATCCTTATCATGTGCCAGGCACTGTAATCGTGTGCCAGGCACACGAATGATCTCATTTAATCCTCATGATAGCCCTATGAGGTTGTAGGTACTATTATTCTCATTTTCAGATGAAGAAATTGAGGTTTACAGGGGTGAAGTTACTTTCCCAAAGACATAAAAATGCCTATGTGTAGAGCGCTAGGGTAGAAACCAGGTCTTTCTGACTGCAAAATGGAGCTGCTGTGCATTTCACTTAAATGACAAACTAAGGTTCAAATCTCACTTCAGCTACTACGTCTCTAAGCCTCAGCTTCCTCCTTTGTAAATTGAGATGATAATGCATGCCAAGTAGGTTAAGAATTACATGCTATCATTGCTGTGAGAGCCTGGTTTCTGCCTTTATTTCTCCTCCTGTGATGTTTCCATGACAGATTGCTGGCCTGATTCATTGGATCTGGGTAGGGGCTAGGAATCTGTTTTTCACAGATGAAATGAATCACCTGTAATCATATGATTCTGATGCAGGTGATCTAAATCCCCCAAAACTGAGGTCTCTTAGAATCAGGGGAGGCCCTGACTTTTCATCTAGATTGTAGGTCAGCCTCCTACCTGGTTCTGTCAGTTCTGTGGCCTCAGGCAAGCCATTTCACCTCTCTGAATGTCTGTTTCTTAATGGCCTCAGGCAAGCCATTTCACCTTCCTGAATGTCTGTTTCTTTATCTAGAAAATGGGGTTCTAATCTCTGACATTGTCCTTTCAGAGTGAGGTTCAGAAGCAAATGAAATGTGACTCTGAAAGTGGTTAGCAGACTGGGAAGGAAAGCGTATAGAAGTTGCGAGTGTTATTAGCATATTTCAGTGGAAGACTTTTGTGAAGGTCCCATTGAGATGGAGCCATCTAGTGTTCAGAGTAGACAATCAAATCATCTTGAAACCAGTTCAGAAGTTAAGTTTCAGGAGAAGGTGATTTGTGGGGAGAATAGGGCCGAGAAGCAAGGAAGCCAGTAGAGAAGTGATGTTTGGGCCTTTTGCTATTCAGAGGCTAAGGTCAGAATCAAAGACAGAAGGAAGATAGAGGCACAAAGTGAGAGTTTTTGCCAAATTAGGGCAAGGGCACGCTTTGACAGAAGGCAAGATAACGTGCCTTACTTGCTCCCCATATGCTTTAGAGAAGGAGGAGGAGGTGGTGTGTGAAATTGTCAGGGCAGGGAGCATTGCCAGCACTTTGGGTACTGGAGGAGGAGAACTAGGACTTGGCAGCCCCCAGGGTATCTTTGAATAGTGTCCTGGGAGTTTTCCTGAGTGGGGAAATGGGGCATGACATTCATTTGTGTGCTTGGCATGCCAGTCTGGTTTGTATTGGTACACAGAAGAGAGTAATGAGGCTTTCCACCTCCATCATCTCCCTGGAGTGTTATGAAGACTAATGAGATAATAGCCATAAAGCCCCAGAAGCTGCTGGAAGAAAGGAGCTGAACAGCCCCATTGTTCAGAGGGCAGTCCCCGTGCTGGTGCTTCACACTTCTGCCCTGCCCTGCATTGCCTGGAAAGACGTGTCTCTGCCTGCCCCTTAGCTGGCTTAACGTGGCCAAACGGAGGAAGGAAGCAGTTGATTCCATTCAGACTTTTGCCTTTTGGAAATCAGCCTCAAGGCACAGTTCCCAGAAACCAGTTGCATCCAAAAGCAGGGAGCTGCCTGTGTCATAATGAGCTTGAGGTGGCAAAACAATTCTGGGACAGGAGATGGCTCTAGTTATTGGACATGAGCTGAGCTAATTACAGGCATCCTTGAATCCTGGCGGTCAAGAATTATATTTTATTAGCTGCACCTTGGGTTCATACTGGCGTTTTTTCAGGCTTGTGAGTATAGGCACTGGGCTTTTCACTTGACAGTGCTGCTGCTGTTTCGTGAATGGAGGGGAGTTTGTGTCAGCTGAGGAAGGACATGGTGGGAACTGGGTGTGGTCAGCATGGAAGATGACGTGTTGAGGGTACCAGCTACTAAAGTCTGATGGTGGTACAGTAAGAGGGCACAGCACCTCTTGTGGCTGGGATGAACCCAGAGCTCAAAGACAGCAGGGTTACTCTTCAGTGTTGTGGCGGGGAGTGAGACTAACTTGGGGCTCGTGGTCTGCCATGAGCCTGCCCTAGAAGGGTGGTGAGAGAACCCTGTATGGTGTGGTTGAGAAGGTTGTAAGTAAAGACTAAGGAGTTACAGGCCTGTGGAAAAGCAGAGCAAGGAGTGTTGGGGGATGGAAAGGGAATAAGGGCTATGGAACTCAGTGCACAGTCCTGGGACCTGGGGAGGCCTTTAGGAGAGAATAACATATTTCTGCTTCCTTTTCAGGGGCTCAATGCGCATTGGGAAGGATTTTATCCTGTTCACCAAGAAGGAAGACACCATGACCTGCCTCTTCCTGTCTCGCACCTTTCATGAGGAAGAAGGCATTGATGAAGTAGGTCCCATCCTCATGGTCTGAATCACCAGTCCCCATTTCCTGAGTATCTGCAGGCAGTTTTCATAGGTTGTTTGCAATGCTAGACTCTTTGGGGTTGCAGGATTGGAGCACATTCCCCCAACTGTTACTCAGCTGGCTGGCTGGATGAATTGGTTGAGGGGTTAAGGTAGATAACTTTAATGTGAGAGGAAGCAAAATCTCAGAGCACTTCAGAGAACAACTGTTTCTGATAATGAGACTGTCAAGTGGCAGGAATTAAGAGTTGGATTTGCAGCTCCTCTAGATCTGCCACTTGAATTCCATCTTGGGGGGAGTGTTACCGTGGAGAATTGTTTTATCAGGGGAAGTATTTTGGGCTTCCCTGATCGTGTGTCTTTCCTATTTGATGGTGATTTTGTGGAATGTGCTATGAGCTCATTTTCCTTTTGAGAAAATGTGTTACTCTATGTCAGAAATTATGACTCAGATACCTAGAGAGAGCCTGGGCAGGTAGTAAAGCAGGTGAGTGTATGGAAAACAGGAAAATAGAGCTGATGCTCTGGGTTTCACCTTGGGAATAGCTGCTACACAGCCCCAGTGATTATTGCTATGCTGGAAGGAAGGACTAATGCATCCAGAATATTCTGAGTTTAAATCATTTTGGTAATTGACTGTGTAAGCTAAACACATATTTGGCTGATTGTCCTTGTGGCTCAGATATCTACAGAGCTGTTTCTGGTGAGGTCTGTGCCCCATCATTGTCGGGGATCAGGGCAGCTCTGTGGTCTAGCCAGCCTCAGACTGGGCTCTTATCTCCTTTCTTATTTAAGACATGGAGGCCAGGGCTTGAAGGAAGGGGGCTAAGAGGTTCTGTAGAAAGAAATCCACAACTTCCACAGAAGCAGGTAGTTTAATTCAAACTTACAATTTAATTCATCTGTGTTGATTAGCTGTGATGAAACTTGTTCTGGTTCTGTTTAGATCTGAGCCTTAATCATAGCAAACTTATTCAGGTAGGGAATGGTAGGCCTTCCATCATTACATAGCAAGCCAGTGGGTTTGTTTGCATTTTTGGTGTGGTATGTGAGTTCATTCTGCATACTTGAGAAAAGCGTGGCAGCTGGAAAGAGCAGGCTTCTAGGAGAAGTAGGACAGGAAAATACAGCCTGGGTTGGGGTTTTCAGGAATGTTTCCTGATATAGGACTGAGGATGGTGACAGGAGGGTATAGAAGTCAGTAGAAGCAGCCTGCTTAAGGCCCTGAGGGCTGTGGGAGGGGACTTGGCTGCAGGGCCACCTGGAGAAAGGTGGTGGCCTTTGAAGATCAAAGAGGGCCAGGTTAGGCTTGACCTCAGGGCCTTGATGAATGTGTGGGGCTTTATTAAACAAGGATATGCCAGTATCAGATTCTTTTAAGAAGGTCCATGTGGCGATTGTGTGGTGATTGGGTTGGAAAGGTTAGGGTGAGTGTTGAAGTGTTCCAGTTGAGAGGCCCAGGCTCTGTGTAGCTTGGTGGTACTCGCCCAGGGGAGGTGAGAGAAATACATGGAGTTTCCATCTCCTTAGGATGTGGGACCCACAGATTTGGTGATTGATTGATTAGTAGAAGGCGAAAGTGAAGGGTAGGAGTCATGGATGACTCATAGGTTCTGCTGTGGCAGTTGGGGAGTGGAGTCTCTGGAGTTGGGAATAATGAAGAGGGGAAGTATGGAGGGGAAGAGTGTAAGTTTCTTCTGGACATGCAAAGTGAAGTCTGGATCTGGCGTTTGGGTGAAGTCTTGGGGCTTCAGGATTCTTGGTAGCAAATGAGGTCACCTAATGGAGAGAATAGAGTGAGAAGAGGACCTGGGACCCAGAGCATGCCAATATCTAAAGGTCAGGGAGAGGAGAAGAGGGCCAAAGGGACAAAGGGGTAGCCAGAAAGGTAGGAAGAAAACTGGGCAAGTGGTACTATTGAAACTAAAGGAGAAGTGTTCCTGAGGGGAGGGATGGGGTGCCCATGGGAGTGAACGCCAATGTTTAAAGTGATGCCATTGTCACCTGGGACTGCTGTGAAGAGTGGGAGGCGTAGAGTGAGGTACAGGTTTATAGAACACAAATGGAACTCAGTTCCCCTGGTGGAGAGGCTAGGTTGAGATTTTTTTCCTTACTTGGTGCTAGAAGGTCGCTATTTTGGATTGTACTCTAGTGCAAACTCAGCCAAGATTTCAAAATAAGATCATTTTCAGCTGAGGAGGAATGTGTCCAGACCAGCCCTTGGGTTGAATACTTGCAGCACAAAGCTTCTTAGAAACCAGCAAAATGGGCTGGGCACGGTGGCTGACGCCTATAATCCCAGCACTTTGGGAGGCCGAGGCGGGCAGATCATGCAGTCAAGACCAGCCTGACCAATATGGTGAAACCCCGTCTCTACTAAAAATACAAAAATTAGCAGGGCATGGCAGTGTACGCCTAGTCCCAGCTACTTGGGAGGCTGCAGCAGGAGAATCACTTGAACCCGGGAGGCGAAGGTTGTAGTGAGCCGAGATCATGCCATTGCACTCCAGCCTGGGCAACAAGAGCAAGACTCCGTCTCAAAAAAAAAAAAAACACAGCAAAATGTCTCAGACTCTTAACGGTTTATCACCCCAGCACTTGTTATAGAGTCCCTTTTTCCAAAGGGTTTGAACCCCTGAGGTGCCTAGCCTGGCTTGCTCTGCAGAGCTCTGCAAGGGCTGCGGCCTCATAACCACGGAGGGAGGAGCCTCTGGGGAAGTGGCATATGAGGTTGGGTTTTTGAAGAAAGAGTAGGATTTTTTAAAACATCACTTAGACATTATTAAAATTAAATTCCACATAAATGGAAGAGAGTATTGAAATATTTGTGCAGTTCAGAGGACAATTTTAAAGCCAACACCTGTGTTGCCACCATCATAGACTGATGTTAGAAGTGTCCTGTGTGCCCTCATCAGTCATTTCTCGTTGTGCCCCTGAAGGAACTGTCTTCAGGTAACTTTTGTGATAATGATTTCTTTCGTTTTCACTGTAGTTTATCACCCTTGTATTCATTCTTAAATAATAGTTTAGTTTTGCCTATTTGTGAATTTTTTAGAAATGGACTCTTACTGTAGGTATTTTTTGTATCCTATTTCATGTAACACTGTGTTTATGATGTTCATCCATGTTGATGCTAAAAGCAGTTCATTTGTATCACTATGTAGTATTCCATTGTACTGTTTAATTTGGCCACTCTAGAATGGATATTTGGGTTATTTTTATTTACTTATTTATCTATTTTTGAGATGGAGTCTTGCTCTGTTGCCCAGGCTGGAGTGCAGTGGTGCGATCTCAGCTCACTGCAACCTCCGCCTCCCAGGTTCAAGCAATTCTTCTGTCTCAGCCTCCCGAGTAGCTGGGGCTACAGGTGCATGCTGCCACACCCGGCTAATGTTTTGTATTTTAGTAGAGACGGGGATTCACCGTGTTGCCCCAACTGGTCTTGAACTCCTGAGCTCAGGCAGTCCACCCACCTTGGCCTCCCAAAGTGCTGGGATTACAGGGATGAGCCACTGCACCCGGCCTGGGTTATTTTTGTACATGTTTACTGGTACATATGTACAAAAGTTTCTCCTAAGTTATGTACTTAGGAGTGGAACTGCTGAGTTTTAGGTTATGTTATGTGTATTTACTGATTCACTAGATAATTGCAAATATATTTTCCCTAGTGGTAAGAGTAGAATTTTTACCAAATTAAGAAAATGACCAGAGACATCCCAAGCAGGGAACTTCTCATGCAGAGACCCTAAGCACATAAACCAACGTATCCTGAAGGAAGTAGTCTTGTGTGGCTGAGTCTTGGGAAGAGGTAGAGGCCCTGAAGCCCACAGAGCCTCTGGTGCCAGGCTGTGGAGCTTGGGCCTCACCTACAGGGCAGTGTGGAGCTACTATGGGGAGACACAAGAGAGATGCACATGTGGGAGGAAGGCTGTTCTGGGGCTTCCCTTAAAGTGCCTGCTCATGTTTACTCCACAGGTGATAGTCCCACTGCCCACCTGGAATGCTCGGACCCGGGAGCCTGTCACAGACAATGTAGAGAAATTTGCCATTGAGACAGAACTCATCTACAAGTACTCTCCCTTCCGCACTGAGGAGGAAGTGATGACCCAATTTATGAAGATTCCTGGGGACAGTGGTAAGTAGGCTTTGAGCCTGTAGCCCCTAGAATCTGGGAGCTCCAGAATCACAAGTGGTGTAGGGGTGGGCCGGGGGATCTGGCAGGACAAAGGATTTCTGTTTCTCAGGAACATTGGTGATCATCTTCAATCTCAAACTCATGGATAATGGAGAGCCAGAACTAGACATAATCTCAAATCCAAGAGATATCCAGATGGCAGAGACGTCCCCAGAGGGCACGTGAGTGTGGCTGGGAAGGGAGGGAGGCCCTGGAACTGGCGTTTGTGCTCTCAGCGGGTAGCTTCAGGGAAAGAGGGGAGAGCACATTCATTGCCCAGTGTTCTGTGGTACGGTAGTATGTAGGGCGAGGTCAGTTGCCTGTGGGGTACCTGTGCTGAGGACGTGAGAGGGGCGGGATGTGCTCACACTAAGGGAGCACCGGTTCAGGGCAGCAAGAGAAGTCAGTACCTAACATGGAAAGGTGGAGAGCCTGCAGAGAGGATGTTGTGCCCTTGGTCAGCCCTGTTGTGGAGCAGGTGACAGCACTTCTTTGTTCTTGCCTTCTCCAGGAAGCCAGAGCGGCGCTCATTCCGTGCCTATGCCGCTGTGCTCTATATTGATCCCCGGATGAGGATCTTCATCCATGGGCACAAGGTGCAGACCAAGAGGCTCTCGTGCTGCCTGTACAAGCCCAGGTAGGGGCCAGTGCACCCTGGCCTGCTGTCTCCCATGGGTTGAGGATGTGGCCGCGTTCCTCTGGGGCATTGTTGGAGGGATACTGTATGAGAGGCTCTGGCAGTGCTGACTACGTTTGGGGCTTTAAGTTGCCTGTGATTGGTCACGGGGTCAGTTCTGGGTCCTAGGGGAGGGACAGGTCAGCTGTGGAGGTGGCTTGCTAAGCTCATTGAGTGTGTGTGCCTCTGTGACAGGGAGGGTGCCCTGCCTGGCACAGTGAGCTGTCTGAGTCTCTCGGCTTCAGGGCCAAGGGGCCTTTAGGCACTATATAGGAAAGCAGTGGGCTTGGCTTATTCCCGAGGTTTGTTTCTGCTGTGGGATGAATGACACCCCTGGTGAATGGTGAGGTTGCTTATCAAAGACAGCCGGAGGCTAAGGGCAAGTGGAATAAGAAATTGCATCTTTTTGCTGAATTGAGCTTGGATTTGTCTCATTGCGAGGGGCCAGGACAGCACAGCTTAGGAGGAGGCAGGAAGACAGGGTGCTTCCTGTGCTTGGGTGTGCCACCTGCCCCACTGTTGCGTGGGCTCTCAGCTTGCTTTTTCTACTGATCAGGATGTACAAGTACACGTCAAGCCGTTTCAAGACCCGTGCCGAGCAGGAGGTGAAGAAAGCAGAGCACGTAGCAAGGATTGGTAATGCCACTCTGGGTGCAGGAGTGGGGTGGGGGACGGGTGCATCTGGGGTATGCTGCTTGTCGGCAAAGTGGGGTTCCAGGAAAAGGCTGAGTCCACAGCTCAGGGACAAAGCTGGTCTCCTGAAGCCATAGTTCAGTTCCTTTTCAGCCCCTTTCCCTACAGGCCAACTCCCTCAGCATTTCTTCTTTCTAGACTCCACTTTCTCTTCTTCAGCCATTTATAGGGCCTAAAAGTGTCAACTCTTTGGTTTATCCCACTCAGTCCTCTGACCCAAATACTTGTGAAATTGCTTTTCCTGACTTCAGGGCAAACATCTCAAGGGCTGTCTCTCTGTTCAGGGCTTCTCAGGGTTTCTCCACTGCTTGTTGGCGAATGATTGGCTGAAGACTTCTTTAGCTTCCAGCTCTTGCTGAGCATTTAACTGGTTGCCTTAGGTGTTTTTTTTTAAAACCTGTTCTGGTTCGTTTGTAAAGTTTCCTTGGGGCCTCTGTGATAGGTTTGAATGCTAGATTTTCCTTCTGAAACTAACTGCAGTCCAGGCACAGAGGCTGCCCTCATATTGCTCATCAGTCATAGCTCCCCCACCTCTTCTTTTCCTTGGTGGTATACACACTTCTTGTCCAGTACTGTGGATCCAGGAGGGATGACCAAGAGTTTTGAACCTTTGCATTCCTTTCCATGTTCTCTTCTGGGTTTCAGCTGAAGAGAAGGCGCGGGAGGCGGAGAGCAAAGCTCGGACATTAGAAGTACGCTTAGGGGGAGACCTCACGCGGGACTCCAGGGTAAGGTCCTGGCCCAGGTGGCTGTTCTCCAGCGTTTCTGGCATTAGGAGCCCATGTCCCATGAGCCTGGTCAAGTAAAACACAGCTTTTGAGTTTGTCCCCAGTGAGGGCCATTTTCTGTAGAAAGAAGTAAATTTCCACATCTTTGAGATAAATTGAGAAGTTTTAGATGTCATGTTTCAATATTCCCTGCTGTGGCCCAGGGTGCCTCCTCCTCTCACCTGATGCCAATGTGTGTGCAGGTGATGTTGCGACAGGTCCAGAACACAGCCATCACTCTGCGCAGAGAAGCTGATGTCAAGAAGAGGATCAAGGAGGCCAAGCAGCGGTGAGTGCCAGGCCTGGTCTTGGATCTTTTAAAATGACATAGCTTTTGGACTGATTATTGATAGGTTGCTATTCTGTCACCAAGACTGCTTTGTTTTAATGCCAAATGCTTGTTAAATGCCCCCTGCAGGAGGGAGGTCTTAATCTGAGCTCTCAGCCCTTTCTTGAGTCATAAAGACACAGGGCAGGGCTGACAGCCTCGGATCGAGCACCAAACCATCCTTTGGCACTGTCTTACTTTTTTTTCCCTTTTGATTTCTTTTCATTTAAAGGATATATAAAATGCTCATTGTATAAAACTTGAAAAATATAAAATGTTTAAGGAATAATATTTTAAAACTCCCTTGTACTTCTACCACCTGGTGATACTACCCTAGTTTTTATGTTATGTATGTATTTTGTCATATTCATTTTCTCCTCAGTGGTTACATATGTAGAATAATGCTGGAGATTGAGTGTTGTATACTTTTACATTTAGAACCATCCTTTGTCCTGGATCATTAAGTTATCTGCTTGTCCCACCTCCATGTCTGGATCCACTTTGGACTCTGTGGCTTGATTTACAGTTTTGCCTCTTGTTGGCCTCCTTGGCGCAGGCATGGGTTTCAGGTTTCTTCTCTCCAAGTCAGTCCACTCCTCATCCATCTGCTTTTCAGCTCCAAGAGTTTGTTGACAGTAATCACATGATGGTGTCTTCTTGCACATGCTTATTGTTCTTGTGAATTTTTACCTTTTAAAATAATAATAATTTACTGTCATACTAGTGGAATTTGGGGGAAGGTATGACGATAACCTCTTGTTTATTCCACCATATAATTGTCTTTGCACAGATTTGCAGCAGCTTCATAATAACCCATTCATATTTATACCCGTCCCTGTTGCCAAAAAGTCACATTCATGTTTTTAATTAGAGATGCTTCGAGTTGGTGCCCAGTGCATGTCTGTATCAAGTCTAAGAGGTTACACATTGAATGGAGATACAAAACTTTTGGCTTAACATGTCTCAAGTTTAAGCTTAAGCTTAACACATCTTAAACACCATGATGCTTGTGTGCTGATGTGTACATCTGCTTGAATTTTTTTGTCTTCTTAGGGCACTTAAAGAACCTAAGGAACTGAATTTTGTTTTTGGGGTCAACATTGAACACCGGGACCTGGATGGCATGTTCATCTACAACTGTAGCCGGCTGATCAAAATGTATGAGAAAGTGGGCCCACAGCTGGAAGGGGGCATGTGAGTACTACCCACGGAGAGCTGTCTAGCCCAAGATAGTTGGTAGGAGGGTGTTGCCAGTGGGGTGACAGAGCTTGTTCTCTTTCTCCTTGTAGGGCATGCGGTGGGGTTGTTGGGGTTGTTGACGTGCCCTACCTAGTCCTGGAGCCTACACACAACAAACAGGACTTTGCTGATGCCAAGGAGTACCGGCACCTGCTCCGAGCAATGGGGGAACACCTGGCGCAGTATTGGAAGGACATTGCCATTGGTAATGGGACTGGGCTGCTGGGCCTCTGCCTTTTCTCTTCACCTGAATGTAGGGAGAGAGAGAGGCTGGCTCGTAACATGATGTGTGGGTGTTTGCTTTCCAGCCCAGCGGGGAATCATCAAGTTCTGGGATGAGTTTGGCTACCTCTCTGCCAACTGGAACCAGCCCCCATCCAGCGAGCTGCGTTACAAACGCCGGAGAGCTATGGAAATCCCTACCACCATCCAGTGCGGTGAGTTGTGTGGTTGGATCCCCCTGACTCATTTCCATCAGCCCGCAAGCCTCTTTTCTCCATCTTCCTGCCAGCCTCCTAACTTGACTGACATTCATGGACTTACAGTCCCACTAGGGATCCAAGTCTGTTTGGTGCTGGCCCTGTGAGCTCAGTCTTGAGGCTTTGCTGAGTTTCACCTGTCCCTCTTGCGTGAGAAAGAAGGTCATCTGTCCTCCCAGACCTCTCCAGCTGCAGCCAGGCCAGGCTTACTTGGTTTGGTACCACATCTGGTGTGCGTGGATGACTGGGCCAGGATCCTGATAAAGGAGGGAGAGGGGCTGGAAGTATTAAGAGTCCACCATGTTAAGTTTCTATCCTTCCTGGAATCAGTGTCCTTGAGAAGAATTAGCATTCTCTAAGGATAGGCAGAGTTGGAGCCTGAGTGAAGATCTTTGCCTGCGAAGTGTGGGGCATCATTGTGGTGGGCCTGTGAGAAGCCCAGATTACAGATAGAGTTGGTGGGGGTGGCTGATGTGTGGGGTTTTTTTGTTCTCTGCAGATTTGTGTCTGAAATGGAGAACCCTCCCCTTCCAGCTGAGTTCTGTGGAAAAAGATTACCCTGACACCTGGGTTTGCTCCATGAACCCTGATCCTGAACAGGACCGGTGAGCACATTCTCTAACAAGGGGATTGTGGGTACTTTTCTCCCTTGCCCCTCACCGTTCTCTCTACTCTTGGGATAAATAACTCACTGTGTTTCTTGAGGTCAGTGCACATACCTTATATCTCTGTCTTGCTATACCTAATAAGTGCCCAAGAAATAAGAATTGATGTATGTCCTGCAGGGCATATGATAATTCCGTGCATTGGGAACTCTGAGATAGTTGCTCTTGTGACAGACAGTGTAGACTGGCTGAAGAGAAAAGTCCTTGCCCAGCTTGGGGCTCTGTTTGCCATGACCTCCCTAGTACCTTTTCTCTACAGGTGTGAGGCTTCTGAACAAAAGCAGAAGGTTCCCCTGGGAACATTCAGAAAGGACATGAAGACGCAGGAAGAGAAGCAGAAACAACTGACAGAGAAAATTCGCCAGCAGCAGGAGAAGCTGGAGGCCCTTCAGGTACGTGGGTCATGGTCAGTGGGCAGAGCCAGCCTGTGTCAGGGCTCTGCCTGGGACAGGAACCTTCAGTAGCTTTCCTGTTCCCTCAGGCTCAGTTTTACCCTCCGCTCACCTGTGTGTGTTTGCCAAAGCTTTCCAACCCCAACCTCCAGGTCCACGTGTACTGTTTTCCAACAGTGTTATTTTAAGAATAACACCTTGCTTATTCTTAAGAAAAATTGCTTATATATTTCAAAGTGGTCCAATTCATTTAGAATTTATAAAACTCCAGAAAATAAAAATTCTGCCTTAGAGGTAACCATCATTAACCATACATCCTTCCAACTTGTCATGAACTCATGAATACCTACACATAATACACATGAATATATATTTTTTAATAGAAATAGGGAGAGAATGCCATATATATGTTTTATATTAATACACACACATGTACACGTTTTAGTGCATAATTGTTTTGATGACTTTCTAGAAGTGAATTTAAAGGACTTAAAAGGTCCATTGTAAAATTCTGTGGCTTTTTGCAACTATTTCTAAAGTACCCTCCAGAGATGTGTTAATTTCTATTATTTACCAGCAGTATATGAGAGTATTATTTTTAAATGTTGTTGCAAATTTCATAGGCAAAGATGCATGTTTTATAATTTAATTTCTTTAATATTTCTAAGATTGCATAATTTTTCATGTGTCCACTTTTTTTTATGTGTCCACTTTTCTTTTAGAATTGCTTATTCACTTACCTTTTTATTTTTTCTTTGTTTTTTTTTTTCTAGATATGTCTGTGATATCAGCTCTTTATCATATTTAGTACAAAACCATTTCCCTTTTTGGCTTCTGTGTCTGTGCAGATATGCTCTCACTAACCCATGATGTCTTATGCATGCCTCCCTGGCCAGTCTCTCAGTTGCTGGATTAATCACACAGTATCCTGTAATTTGCTGATAGTTGAGTATTTATGTATTTTGTGTCTCCCCAGTGAGAACAGGAGATTTGTAAGAATAGGACTATGGTTTTCTATTTTATTTGTCCCTGGTTCCAGACACTATCCAAAAAGTTTGCTCAAGTATACTAAAATATGCAAACAACTTCATCATGATGTTTGCCTTGCAGAAAACCACACCCATCCGCTCCCAAGCAGACCTGAAGAAATTGCCTTTGGAAGTGACCACCAGACCTTCCACTGAGGTGAAGTCCAGGGCCTGGGAAGGGCTTTTCCTCAGGTATCTCATGCTAGGATCAGTGTTCTCACTCTCTGTGGGCCTTTTTTTAGGAACCTGTGCGTAGACCTCAGCGTCCTCGGTCGCCCCCTTTACCTGCTGTGATCAGGAACGCCCCCAGCAGACCCCCTTCTTTGCCAACTCCTAGACCAGCCAGCCAGCCCCGAAAGGCTCCTGTTATCAGCAGTACCCCAAAGCCCCCTGCTTTGGCAGCCCGGGAGGAGGCCAGCACATCCAGGCTGCTCCAGCCACCTGAGGCACCCCGAAAGCCTGCCAACACTCTTGTTAAGACTGCATCCCGACCTGCCCCTCTGGTGCAGCAACTGCCACCATCTTTACTGCCCAACTCCAAGAGCCCTCGGGAGGTTCCTTCTCCCAAAGTCATCAAGACTCCAGTGGTGAAGAAGACAGAGCCACCCATCAAACTCTCCCCGGTGAGATGCTTGTCCTCCTCGATCCCCCAACCCAGTGTCAGTAGTGTAGGAATGGAATTGTGCAGTGTCACAGCTGTACTGGGGGAGCCTTGGGAAGATACTGAATCTAAAGCTTTGCTGCTGCCCCTGAGGAGGGGAAACCTTGATAGCTGAATGGACTTGTTCAGGGCCAGAGAGCACATTGGTTGCCTGTACAGCTAGCTCTTCACTGCTCCCTCCGAGTTTTGGTCTGCCACAAACTTGAGTCACCTCCACTGGCTCTCGAAGTGTGGGCTTAGGTCAGTCATCTTTTGACAGCCCGAGTGGGCTGCAGCAGTGGTCGGTGGTTCTTGGGAAGGTGACAGCTGGCTGGCCAGGCAGACTAAGGTGGGAAAGGAATTGAGAAGCTTCTCCTATGACAGCTTTGAGCAAAGATTCTCATGGCACAGGGGCCAGTGGGTTGCCTGTGTACATTCCAAGTAATGTCAGGGAGGGATTGCAGGGAGTACAGTTCCTCTTGGAACAGCTCCTTTAGGCTAGATGAAATCTTCCTGCCCCCTAGAGGCTGAACAGGGCCCCTCACATCCTTACGCTCCTCTTGCTCTAGGCTACCCCTAGTCGGAAGAGGAGTGTCGTGGTTTCTGATGAGGAAGAAGTTGAGGAAGAAGCTGAGAGGAGGAAGGAGAGATGCAAGCGGGGCAGATTTGTTGTGAAGGAGGAAAAGAAGGACTCGAATGAGGTGAGTGGTTGAGGTGAGGTTCTCAAAAGAGCCTCCCTCTCTAGGGCCTGCACCCCCCACCAGCAGTCTACACCCCCCACCAGCAGTCTATACCCCACACCAGCAGTCTACACCAGCTCTGTTTATATTTGTGTCATGAGCCTTCCAGAAGCCTAGTGATCTCTCAAGGACTCTCAGTTACACAAGTGACTACACATGGTGCCAGGTAGGGTCTTGAGTGAGACTGGCTTCTAGCTTAACCACAGGCCTAAAGTCACACAGACGTACATCAGGGAAACTTGAAACACATTATGTCCCTTGCCTGCTGTCTTGTTCATAAAGGTGGCAGAAGGGTAGGTACCTTGGACAGTGATTTTGGAGTGTGGCTCTCAGCAGGGCTTGGTGATTTAAACTGTAGCACAGGAATTCGTGAAGATGGCTGATGGCCAGTAAGGCACAAGTCTGCTCTTGTGGGGCACTGGGGATGCCTCTAATAGACTGCTCTCCACACAGCTCTCAGACAGTGCTGGGGAAGAGGACTCGGCTGACCTCAAGAGAGCTCAGAAAGGTGAGCTGGGGGAGTGACCTGGCAGCCTGTGGCGGGGGTGGGAGTGGGAGTGGAAGTGGAGCCCCTTACCAGCAGCAGTTTACCAAAGGCTCATGGAGTCTTTCCTGGGTCTGGGCTCTTGTGCAGCAGTGGATCCAAGTCAAATCCTAAGCAGAATTCTGAAGGGATCACCCCTTTGTGGTTATTTTTAACACTAATTCCTTGGTGTTCACTCCTGGCAATCAGTCATTCTTCTGCTCTTTGGCACCCTCATGACAGATGGGGAAGGAGACCATGGTGGCTGGTCCCTGGTTTCTGTGTCCCTGGTGTATTGGGGGCAAGCACCTAAGTGTTCCTGTCCTCCAAACCCTAGGAACTGCCTTTCTCAATGTGGCCCCGGCCAAGTGAGGGACTATAGGCTAGTTTTCTGACTCGCACCTCTGTCTACATTGTCAGATAAAGGGCTTCACGTGGAGGTGCGTGTGAACAGGGAGTGGTACACGGGCCGTGTCACAGCCGTGGAGGTGGGCAAGCATGTGGTGCGGTGGAAGGTGAAGTTTGACTACGTGCCCACAGACACGACACCAAGAGACCGCTGGTAATGCCCCAATCACGGAGGAGCAGTGGTTCCTTGAAGGAGGTATCCCTGGCCTCCCTGCCAGCAGCCCATCCTGGGAGCCCGGGTCAGATGTGACATAAGCTGTGTGTCTTCCACAGGGTGGAGAAAGGCAGTGAGGATGTGCGGCTGATGAAGCCCCCTTCTCCGGAACATCAGAGCCTTGACACGCAGCAGGAGGGCGGGGAGGAGGAGGCGGACCCTGTGGCCCAAGAGGCCATAGCCGTGGCAGAGCCCTCCACTTCCGAATGCCTCCGCATTGAGCCTGACACCACTGCCCTGAGCACCAATCATGAGACCATCGACCTGCTCGTCCAGATCCTCCGGTACATGTGTCTTTTGTCTTCCCACCCCAGGGCCAGCAGCAGCTCTCTGTCTGCTCCATGCCATTCTGAATTACTGTCCCTGCCTTTTTCAGGAATTGTTTACGGTACTTCCTGCCTCCAAGTTTCCCCATCTCCAAGAAGCAGCTGAGTGCTATGAATTCAGATGAGCTAATATCTTTCCCTCTGGTGAGTCTGGCCTGAACTTCGATTCCACACTCTTCATTGCCCCACCCCTGCCCCTGGATTTGTTGTAACTGTTGTGATTGTGATTGTTATGCTTGGTGCAGTTGCTAGCTCTCAGCTGTGTGCTCCATCTCAGCCAGCCTCTCTTCTGCTGAAAGAAGAAAAGAGGAGACTTTACGATGTGGGGAAAAACTTGGCTTAGCTGGATATGACTCTGGTGTGCAGAAAGCCAACCCCTTCCACCACAGGTGCTAGGAGTTGAGTCATCCCTTAGGGATAGCAGGTGTAGTTTGACATTTTATGACAAGCATACCCCCTTTCTTCTGCCCCAGCAGAGGGAGTAAACCTGTCCCAGGCAACAGTGAAGAGCTGAGGCTCAAAGTGCATAGAACTTGACACTCAGAAGGAGGTACAGAGAAGCTTGGACATAAGCACTGGGTCTTAACTTAACCCAGCAAATGCTGAAGGGGTGCCTTGCCCGAGCAGGTGTCTGCTGGACCTCATAGTGAGCAGCAAAAGAGAGTCTTGCCTTCAAGTGGCTCAAGATTCAGTAGAGACTGAGTTGTTACCAGGTTAGCTGGTCATGAGGGCAGGAGCAGTGAGTGCTGAGAAAATGGATAGAAAGGCTATGGAGGGCTGTGGTGGCCTAGGGGGCAGAGAGAGCAACTGAGTTGGAAGAAAATGCATTTTGCCAGGTGCCTGCCTGTGTAAGTGAAAAGGAGTGTTTGAGGTAGGGACTTCTGTGAGCAAAGGCTCTGGGGGTGGGGTTAGGGCAGCAGGCTGTGTGGTGAGCATTTAGGGTAGAGGCCCTGAAAGCCAGGATATGATGGGTCTTGAATCCCCAGTCTGTCATACTGGGTTAAACTCTGTATGAAGAGAAGAGCCTGCAAAAGTTTTGAGCTGAAGGAACTGTCATCCAAACCATATCTAGGGCAGCGGTCAACACATTTTTTCTGTAGAGGGCCAGTTGGCAAGTAATTTCAGGTTCACAGGCTATACAGTCTCTGTGGCAACTCTGCCATTATAGCATGAAAGCAGCCACAGACAATATGTAAAGGAATGGATGTCCTGTGTTCCAGTAAAGCTTTATTTACAAAAACAGTTGGCAGGCTGATTCGGCCCAGGGGCTGTAGTCTGCTGCTCCTGCCCCTAAGAGGGTAATTTGGGTAGCAGCGTGTTTGGGTAGAATGGGTGGATGGGAGATGCAGGGGCGAGGAGGCTGGTCCTATGTAAAAGGTCAGAGGTGAGGGAATGGGAACAGGAGCCAGTGTGGTGGCAGTGGGCTTGGGGGTGAAAGGGTTGTGTCAGAGGTTGTCAGCAGACCGATGATCATGGATTGTAGGCAAGTGACTCAGGCCTGTGGGAACTGGAGGTTGATGACAAAGCTATTAACTAGGAGAGAAAAATGGGTAAGTGCAACGAAGGTGATGAGTGGAGGCTTGTGTAGTGCCAGAAGTGCCCTCACTATGTTTCTGGTGATGTGCAGTGTACAGGTGGAAATCAGGGACTGGCACTTGGAGGGAGGGGGAGGCCAGGGCTGGAGATGGGGCTCTGGGAATTGTCCACATGAAGTGGGATGATTTTTCTATGATAGGAATAGCTAAGTTTTCTAGGAAAGAGGTTCTAGAGAAAGACAACTGGAATGGAAACTGCAGGATTAGGATTAGTATATTCAAGATGTCGGATCCTCATGGGGCAGTTGTGTGCTTGATAAAGTTTGCCAGAGATAAAAAAACATGGTGTTTGTCTTTATTCTACTTTTAAAAATGTGAAATGAAGCGGGAGTTGAAGAAACTAAGGCTCAGTAAAGAGTCTGTTGGTCAGTGACAGAGCCCAGATTTGAACCCAGGTACTTCTTAGGACTTGCTCTGTTCACGATGCTGCCTTGCTCTCCTGGCAAGATAAGGGGTGGTGCTCAGTGAGGGAGCTAGAAGGTGCAGAAATCACAGCTGCTTCACAGAAAGATCCACGCTTCAACTTTCGTCCTTGTTTAGGCTGCAGGTGCTCTGCAAATCCTAGGAGGAACAAGCAGCTAATAGGGTGGCTAGGTTGCCCTGGAGGCATCTTCTTGTAAGATTTGTTGATTTTAGCTTAAAGTTATTGCCAAACTCAGAGTAGAGCCTAGGTGTAGCAGGATCTCTGCAGTGGGCTTGAATGCCTGGGCCCAAAACAAAGTCTGCATGAGTGTCTAAAAATAGTATATTAGGCTGGGTGTGGAGGCTCAGGTCTGTAATCCCAGCACTTTGGGAGGCTGAGGAAGGTGGATCACTTGAGGCCAGGAGTTTGAGACCAGCCTGGCCAATATGGTGAAACCCCATCTCTACTACAACATATAAAAAATATTAGCCAGATGTTCTGGCACAGGCCTGTAATCCTAGCTACTTGGGAGGCTGGGGCATGATAATCGCTTGAACCTGGGGAAAGGCAGAGGTTGCAGTAAGCTGAAATTGTGCCACTGTACTCCAGCCTAGGTGACAGAGTGAGACTGTGTCAAAAAAAGGTATATTAGGCCGGGCGCAGTGGCTCATGCCTGTAATCCCAGCGCTTTGGGAGGCCAAGGTAGGTGGATCACAAGGTCAGGAGATCGAGACCATCCTGGCAAACATGGTGAAATCCCCGTCTCTACTAAAAATAAACAAAAAAAAAAAAAAAAAAGCCGAGCATGGTGGCCGGCGCCTGTAGTCCCAGCTACTCGGGAGGCTGAGGCAGGAGAATGGCGTAAACCCGGGAGGCGGAGGCTGCAGTGAGCTGAGATTGCGCCACTGCACTCCAGCCTGGACGAGAGAGCGAGACTCTGTCTCAAAAGAAAAAAAAAAAAAGTATATTAGCTTTTTTTTGTATAAGGAGCTATAATACCAGTGGATCACCTTTGTTCTGCTAATTGTAATGTCTAAAACCACTCAAAGTTTTTTTTTTTTTTTTTTTTTTGAGACAGAGTCTTGCTCTGTTGCCTGGGCTAGAGTGCAGTGGCACAATCTTGGCTCACTGCCAGCTCCACCTCCTGGGTTCATGCCATTCTCCTGCCTCAGCCTCCCAAGTAGCTGGGACTACAGGCGCCTGCCATCATGCCCTGCTAATTTTTTGTATTTTTAGTAGAGACGGGGTTTCCCTGTGTTAGCCAGGATGGTCTCTATCTCCTGACCTCGTGATCTGCCCACCTTGGCCTCTCAAAGTGCTGGAATTACAGGCATGAGCCACCGTGCATGGCCATCACTCAAACTATTTTTTTAGCATCAGGGATAAAACAAAGTCTACTGTTCAATATGTCCTTGTCAGTTATGTCCTTTATACTGTATTCATCAGGAGTTCCATAGAGCCTCAGGAGCCCTGCAATATTAGATTCAAGTATCATTTTGCAAAAAAACTAATGTAACAATTATATGTGAATCTACAATTACCTCAAAATAATTTAAAAAAATTATTACAAACCATGTCTGCTTTAAAGATGTTGTATACTGAATTTTAATACTTTGGGGATTGCTCCAGCATTTATTTTGTGCTGCCAAGGCAATTATTGTTTTGTGTAGAAGTTTCTCTTGCTATCTTGGTTTTAGTAGGATAAGGTGAATGACACGGTTCGATACTTGCCAGTAACAGTTTTAAAAAATGGCATCTAGAAGCCTCTCTAGGCTGGGCAGCTCATGCATCTTTACAGAAGTAAACACCAGAGTTGATAAGACTACAGTAGCCAGCTAGCACCTGCTGGTTGAGGCGTGTGTGTTCATCACAGTGGCCTCATCATTCTCAGTGATTTACGAGGAAGTCATGTTATAAATTTGAACTTGGAAAATAAATTGAACCTAAAGAGATACTACTTACATTGTTTTTCACACTGAGATTCCATGTGACATTTCATTTAAAACAAATATTCTGCTTCAAAAGCCACTAGAAAAACTGCTTGTTTCCTACCTCACCCGCTGGAGGTTTCAGGTACTCAGGGAAAATAGTAAAAAGCTCTGATGCTGCAGAAGTACATACTGCTCCACAGAGCTGAAGATATCTGCTATTGGTTGGTAGGTGAAGAGAGAACTGATATGAGTGCTGACATTGTTGGGTATGTCTTGGAAGTGGATGGCACAGGGCTGTACTGAAGTCAGACAGGTTATGATTGAGCATGGAAGAGTGATTCTGTCAACCTTTTTTGCCACTTGGAATGGTAAGAATCACCCCTCATGTGTCCTTATGGCCTGCTGTCTGCCAGAGCACTGTGCTGAGTGCTTCACCTGTGTGCTAATTGTCTTCTTCCTTGTGGCAGCCCCTTATGTACCCTCCCTCTTGCTGTGCTCCCAACAGAAAGAGTACTTCAAGCAATATGAAGTAGGGCTCCAAAACCTGTGCAATTCCTACCAGAGCCGTGCTGACTCCCGGGCCAAGGCCTCCGAGGAAAGCCTGCGTACCTCCGAGAGGAAGCTCCGCGAGACGGAGGAGAAGCTGCAGAAGCTGAGGACCAACATCGTGGCACTCCTGCAAAAGGTGCAGGAGGTGAGCCCGGCAGCCTTCCTGTTGCAGCTGGACCACCTGGTCTCTCAGGGAGGGGGGCCTGGGACCTGTTCCTGTTCTCACAAGAATTTGTCCACTCACAGGAATCTGTGGTTCCCACCCTGGCTGCACAGCACCCTGGCAGGAGAGCTTGAGATGGTGTGGCTGCCTGGGTCTCAGCCCAGCCAGACCCATAGAACCAGGCTTTTTCCCTTTAGACATTCCGAGGTACAGCCTGGTTTGAGAACCCTCCAAGCCATAAAAACGAAGTTCTTTTCCACATGACGCCCAGATGGGATTGGGTAGCCCAGAAGTGGGGAGTGCTCCTTAGCTTGTTGGTCCTTCATCCAGGCAGTAAGCATGAGGGCCTGCTCTGTGCCTGTCCTGTGGATACAGAATGAACAAGACAAGCCAGAGAAGGTTCCTGCTCTCACAGCCTGCCAGTTTGGTGGAAGAGACAGAATTACTGATGGTGGTTCCTAAGGAGATACAGTAAAGTGTTGAGAGGCCACTTGACTAAAATGTTCAGGGGCTTAGGCATTTGGAGACACTGGAAGCCAGTCATGCAAAGAGTGTGACACGAGCATTCCAGGCAGAAGGAAGAGGAGGACCTGAGGCCTGAGCAGGGACTTGGGGGCAGTAGGAGCAGAAGCAGGGCTTGAAAGTTGTGGGATTTGATCCTGAGAACAATGGAGATCACTGGAGGGGTGTGGCATGATCCAGTTTTCAGTCTCAAGACACTTACCTGGTTGGTTGGAGGAGGCCTGGAGGGGTCAAAGTTAGAACCAGAGCCTCCTGTGAGGAGGCTCCCCACAGCTGTCTGAGACAGTGGTGGCCTGGACCTTGGGCAGTGACAGAAGGGAGAGAAGTGGGCATATTTGTAGGATCTGAGGGAAACGTACATCTAAGACAACTGGGAACATGGGGTAGAGGCACGGCGGGCACAGGAAATCTGGGCATCATCCGTGCACAGATGGAGGAGGGGAGAATAAAGATAGGACAGAAGCCTGACATCCAGGGTGGGGTGGGAGGTGGGGGAGGGGACTCTGGGCTCTGTCCCAGAAGCTGAGAGAAGGTGTAAAGGTGGGCCCCCCAGTCACTTTCTGGCCCCCCGTTGACTCCTGCTCTGCTCTATTCCAGGACATAGATATCAACACAGATGATGAGCTGGACGCCTACATTGAGGACCTCATCACCAAGGGGGACTGAAGGCGGGAGAGAGAGCAGCTCCCCTGCCCACCTGCCCTTCAACCCTGTAGCTGCAGGGGGAGGGGGCTTCATTCATGGGTTGGTGGTCGCACCTTGGTTTGACTTACAGGGGACATTTGTGTTTTTGGAGGGAAAGATACCCTGATTCTTTGAATCTTCCTCCTTAAGTTTATAAATATTTATTTTTTAAAAGAAGATGCTGTGCCTGTGAGACCATACTTTTTCTTTTTTTTTTTCTTTTTTGGTGACTGCAAAGGACAGAGAACCTTTCCACTTTGGCCACACTGGGTTGCTAAGCCGGAGTCACTTCAGCTCTTGGCTCCTCAAGATAACGGCGAGTTCAGTGCCATCTTAGAGAAGCTCCAGGGGCAGGGCTGACTTTTCTCCTAGAGGAGGAACAACGTGGGGATCTGAGGGATAGGAGGGAGACTTCCCCCCAGAGTGGTGGTGCTGCTGGGGGCTCAGATCCAGGGACCCAAAAGGGGGGCTGTGTAGGAGGTTCCACATTGGAGGGGCTCGCTCTCGCAGCTGTCCGAGTTGGTCCTGGCTGTGGCGTCCAGACAGCTTGGGGGAAAAAGATCCTGTCTAACCACCTCATCTACCACTCAGGTTCTTTCTGAAGGAGGGATTTCTTCAGTTAACCATGGTCAGTGAGGTTTCTTACCGCAGTAACTTGAGTCCAGGTTGAAGGGGAGACAGATCTGTGGTGAATCTCTGATTTGGGTAGCACACTGAGTGTGGAACCCCACAGGACTCCTTAGGGACGGAGCTTGGGTGTGAAAAAACCCCTGGGGCTGAGCTAGTGACCTCCATGTGTGGGTGCAGCAGGGCCCTGGATGGTGCCAGTTGATCTGGACAGCCTGTTGATGTTTTTCTACTTCTACCCTTTGGCCGGGCCCCACTGAGCCCCATCGAGGTGCCTGAGGAGGGGGCCAGTGAGGTCCCCTGGCCACAGGGACTCCAGAGGCATCTCTGCAGGAAGCACACCATGCGTTCCCTCCATGTCCCATCATAGTGCCACAATCTGTGTCCCGAAACTTCTCAGGGTCAAAGACAAAGGCAAGGGTTGCTGAATTTTCTCTTTAATGGCCACTGGAAGAATCTGGTTCAGTTTTTCCCAACTCTCTTCCCACTCGGATTCGGGGACTCTGGGTTTTCTGAAGGCACAAGGACTATGACTTTGTACCACTAACTTGTGGTTCAAACCTGGGTGTGTTTCTGGCATCTCCCTAACCCAGATCAGCAATGGCTACCCTGCTGCTCCGAGGCCAGCAGAAGACTGGAAGCATAGGTGAGGGATGCAGGCCACACTGGAATGGGAAGTCTTTCCCCACTGGATGTGCCTGTGTCTGGTGGGTTTTGGGCCTTCCCAGACTACATCTCTGGGAGAGGCCTGTTTGGGGTAGTACACTGAGAGACCCTGGCCTCTTCTGCTGGAAGACTGTCCAAGTCTTGGGGTTTCTTGAGCTGGTGATTCCTCTGCCATCCTGCTGTCTCTGTTCATCTCAGGCAGCATGGGGTCCACTTTTGTCCCCAAACCTAATGTTTTAATCCAAATGCAAGTTGGTTCTGCATTTTTACTGGAGGGTAATCAATTTTTAAAATTCACACACATGTAATCAAAATGCAATACTATAAACTTCTACTGGTGAGACTCCTGAACTCGGTCTGTTTTCTTCTTAGTAAAATTCAGCACCTTCCTTCTCTTCATTCTTTGTACCACTGTGGCTTTAAATGGTCTTCAAGTTATTCCTCCTCATCACCTCCATTGTTTTATCTTCACCCCCTTAACATCCACAGAAACAGACTGGAGTTCTTGAATGTTTTAGCTTCAACTTCTAGATGTGCCCACTGTGCTTTGTTAATGCTACCACAGTTGTGCTGAATGCAGCCTGTTTCCCAGGCAGAGATCCTGCCACTCCCAATGGGAAGATAAAATGCAGGGGTCCTCTTTGCCAGTTTCCTGGGAACATCAAGGGACAGGTGACCAGCTTGGAACTCTTTGATGACTTGGGAGGAGGAAGATGGTCTGGCTGATCTGTGGTGAAAAGGTCCTTTGCACAAGGCTGCAAGAAAGTGAAGGGCAGCAACGCTGGTGTTTAAGGACCGAGTGGGTACTAGGGTGTTTTGTTTGAGATGGGGGTCTCACCCTGGTCACCTAAGCTGGAGTGCAGTGGCACGATCTTGGCTCACTGATACGTCTGCCTTTCAGACTCAAGTGATCCTCCCACCTTAGCCTCTCTAGCTGGGACCACAGGCACGCACCATCACGCCTGGCTTTTTTTTTTTTTTGTATTTTTGGTAGAGTTTCATCACGTTGCTTAGGATGGTCTCAAACTCCTGAGCTCAAGTGATCCACCTGCCTCGGCTTCCTAAAGTGCTGGGATTACAGTGTGAGCCACCATGCCTCACCTAGGGTGTTTGATTTTTAAGTGACACATGCACATGGTAAACATTAAAACTGTCTAAAAGGCTGGACCATGAAAAGCAAAGGCTCCCTTCTCCCACCCAATCCCTGAATTCTCCCTGGAGAGTATCCCTCCTAAGTGAACACACTTCTACTCTGTTCCCTTTCTGCCTGTTAACTACTTAGTGTAGCTTAAGTGTAGTGGAACCTGCTTCAGAATAACCCATATGGGTCTTCTTTATTCTCATGAACCACAGAGCATTTCATGTGTTGATATATTGTCTCCTATTTATGGACATTTGGGGTTGTTTCCATTTTTTTTGTTGTTGTTTTGAGACAGACTCTTGCTCTGTCACCCAGTCTGGAGTGCCGTGGCATGATCTCGGCTCACTGCAACCTTCACCTCCTGGGTTCAAGCAATTCTCCCCCATCAGCCTCCTGAGTAGCTGGGACTACAGGTGCATGCCACCATGCCCAGCTAATTTTTGTATTTTTTGGTAAAGACAGGGTTTCACTACATTGGCCAGGCTGGTCTCAAACTCCTGACCTCAAGTGATTCACCCACCTTGGCCTCCCAGTGCTGGGATTACAGGCATGAGCCACTGCACCCGGCCAGTCACCATTTTCATACAGTAACTTGCAATGCACCAGGCCTTACCAGGGCCACTGATGGGTTCAGCAGACATTTCTTTCTTCAAGCTGGCAAGGCCTCAGATAAGTCACTGCCCATTTTGGCTCCCCGTTCCTCCTCTAAAATAAGGGAGTTGGGTGATGGCAGAGGCTTTCCAGCTTATTCAGCCTCAGGGCCTGTTACCTACCTAAAATTTATCCAGAAGCCCATATGGAAAGCCAGGAGTCCTGGAACTGCTCTGGTTGAAGCTGGGATGGGGGCCCAAAGCTCCCTGCTGTTCTTGACCCCCACATCTTTGCTTCCAAGATTTCACTGGCGCCTACCTGCTACCTGTAGGCCTTCAGCTGCTTACTCTTGTCCTATGTGGGGGTAAAGTGCTTACTCAGCAGCCATCCTCATGGCCTAATCATTTGGCCAGTTTCAGTGTCCCTGAAGGATGGAGGAGGGCTGGGCTTCCATGGAGCCTGAACCGCAGGTGCCTTCAGCACTTCCTGGGGCTCTGGACATGTCAGCAACTGCCCACCAAGGCCTGGAAGGTAAGGGGGTTCATACCACTAGGGCAAACTTGGATCAATAAGAAGGGAAGGATGCGACAGACCTTATCCCTCCTCTTTTCTTGTCCCCTCTGGATTCTACTGAGATGCTTCCAGGGATTCTCCAAGGCCCCTTCGTGCCCCAGTAACTGCAGGTTTCTGGGGAAGCCGTGGCCAGCTCTAATCCCCTACTTGTTTTTTTTTTTTTCTTTCCCTTTTTAGACAGTCTCGCTCTGTCACCCAGGCTGGAGTGCAGTAGCGCCATCTCGCCTCACTGCAACCTCTGCCTCCAGGGTTTAAGCAATTCTCCTGCCTCAGACTCTCTAGTAGCTGGAATTAACAGGCGTGTGCTACCACACCTGGCTAATTTTCGTATTTTTAGTAGAGACAGGGTTTCGCCATGTTGGCCAGGCTGGTCTTGAACTCCTGGTCTTGAGATCCATCTGCCTCAGCCTCCCAAAGGGCTGGGAGCCACAGCGCCCAGCCTAATCCCCTACTTTGATTTACTACCCCTCCCCACATCATTTCTTTCCTTATTGAAAGCTCTGGGTCCTCCCCAATGCTCCACCATGTAAACCAATCTGTCCCGTTGGGTTTGGGGCACCGCAGTGGGCAGGGGGGAACCTGTTTGTCAGAAGGTTCAGAGTTTTTGAGTTCCTCATGTTTGTTTATTTGTTTGTTTTTTTGAGACGGAGTCTCGCTCTGTCGCCCAGGCTGGAGTGCCGTGGCCGGATCTCAGCTCATTGCAAGCTCCGCCTCCCGGGTTCACGCCATTCTCCTGCCTCAGCCTCCCGAGTAGCTGGGACTACAGGCGCTCGCCACCTCGCCCGGCTAGTTTTTTATATTTTTTCAGTAGAGACGGGGTTTCACCGGGTTAGCCAGGATGGTCTCCATCTCTTGACCTCGTGATCCGCCCGTCTCGGCCTCCCAAAGTGCTGGGATTACAGGCTTGAGCCACCGCGCCCGGCCAAGTTCCTCATGCTTAATTATCAGCGACCACAGCACAACACGTGGCTGAGGGTGGGTTGTAAATTCTCACCTGGCCTAGAGGACGCAGTCAGGACTCCAGCACTTGGCCATCTCTGTAGAGGCTTCGCGGGCCTGTAGACTAGTCATGCTCAGTCTAACACGGCGTGGTTATGAACGCCGGTTATGAACGGTTCATAACCAGTCAACGGTTATGAACTGTGGAGGGCTTCCCCAACCCCGCCGCACGCTCGAGGCGGAAGTGACACGGCGCCTGCGCGGTTTTGCTGGCGCGCCGCACGTGCACCGTGACCTGCGCATGCGCTTTGGAAGCCTCGGGAGCTTGTGGCGGCGCTCAGGGTTTGCTGCAGGTACCTGTGGCCTTTGGGGGTTTCCTCGCATCTTTTAGGTAAGTACTTCCAGGGATTCTCTTTTTTTTTTTTTTTTTTTGAGACAGTCTCGCTCTGTCACCTAGGATGGAGTGCAGTGGCGCCATCTCGCCTCACTGCATCCTCCACCTCCAGGGTTCAAGCAATTCTCCTGCCTCAGACTCTCTAGTAGCTGGAGTTACAAGGAGAGCAAGGGCCCACTCACACCCCAAGCAGAAAAGCGAGGATTTTTTTTTCCTGCAAGCTGCTGAGCATTAATTAAGTCAAAGTGCAGATGAAATCTTTCCCCCCCGGTTGTTTTCCAACTTTTGGGGAGTCACTGGGGAAAACAGTCGTTGAACAGATGTCCTTAGGGTCGGCGCTTTTATCTTTGCAAGGAAGAACAAACACTAGGAAAGGAAGCTGTGTGTTTTTCCTTTTGCCGGGAAGGGTGTGTGCCTGCCTTTGGACCTGAGGCCGAGCGCCTGAAGCCTCTTGGACTTAACATTAGTCTGTTTTCTATGCGTTTGTCCTTGGCTTGGTTTATGGTGTTTGTTGAAAGGTAAATGTTTTAAAGTTTTGGGGATTCCTATCATGCTTAGGGAAATCCATCCCCTTCTCTCTTCTCCCCTTCCCCCGATATTCTCTTACATTTTGTTGCAATGTTTATTTTTTATTTTTTACTAGACAACCTGTAGTCCTTATGGAATATATTTTGTATAAGCTGTAAGACAAGAGTCAAGCTTCCCCTGCCCCCAGGTGGAAATTAACTCATTCCAGCCCTCCTTATTAAATGAGCCTCTCATTAAATGAACCAACAGGTGTGGACTTGTTGCGTTTGAGATGCCCCTTAGACCCCAGTGGAGACATCTGTGGTCAGTTGCACAAGTGAGTGTGATGTGAGGGGTGAGGTTCTGGCTGAAACTATAATTGTGGGCGTCATCAGCATCTAAATAGATCAGTCTCCCTCACTTGTTAAAAAATGATTTTCCAGTCTTAGAATTTATTCTCTCACATGAAATGTTTAATCGCACTATCCAGTTCTCTCCCATCCCTGCCTAAAAGAAAGTGTTCCATTGGGATTTAAATTATAATTGCATTAAACTTAAATGTAAGTTTTGGGAGCATTGACATTTTTATGATATTAATCCTCCCCCAGAGGATAAAAATGGCTTTCCATTTACTCAAGACTTCTTTTAGGTCCTCCAATAAGATTTTATAAATTCTTTATACGGGTTCTATAACTTTCTGGTTAAATTTATTCCTAAGTGTTTTATGGTTTTTGTCTATTGTGATGAAATACTTTTTCCCATCTGTATTGCTCACTGATTATTAATATGAAGAAAAGCTAATATTTAATATAATTCACTTTCTATCTTAGGAATTCTGGTAGTTTAAAGCCTGTTTTTTATAGATATAAATTTGCAGGGTATACCAATTTATTTTGTCAGTTTGCTTTAGTTAGAACCTCTGAAACAATGTTGAGTAATGATCCCAGGCTTGTTTCTGATATGGGTGGAAATCCACATGTGAGAGCTGAGCAGTGAGAGTTTCGGCAAGTGGCTTTTAAAATGTTGGGGTTTCCTTTAGTTTCTCTTGGGGCTGCTGGGACTCACCGGTAGTTGCCAGTCCTGCCTGAGTCGGGCGCCAGGGGGCACCAGTCACACATAATGAAATGTGAGTTGTGCCCGCTGGAAACTGGCTGAATTTTGTCAAATGTCTTTATACCTTCTATAAAAAAATACATAGTTTTCTTCTTTATGCTGCTGTTTTTATTTTCAATTAGACATTGAGTAGCTATGAAAGAATACTGTATAAAATATTTGTAAAGTGGCCGGGCGCGGTGACTCACGCCTGTAATTCCAGCACTGTGGGAGGTCAAGGTGGGCAGATTGCTTGAGCCCAGGAGTTCAAGACGAGCCTGGGCAACATAGCAAGACGTCGTCTCTACATTAAATACAAAAATTAGCTGGGTTTGTGCTGAGGCTGAGGTGGGAGAATCGCTTGAGCCTGGGAGGTGGAGGCTGCAATGAGCTATGATCGTGCCGCTGTACTCTAGCCTGGGTGACAGAGTGAGAAACTGTCTTAAAAAAAAAAAAATTGTAAAGCAGAAAAAATATACATCGAACAACCATCACCTGGTTCGTTATTTTATAAATCCTTGTGTGTCCTTCCTGGACCCCTTGTCTCCCTGCTCAAAGGTCACCATCATCCTGAATTGTGTTTATTACTCTTAGGGTGTTTCATTTTATAATTGTG